ACTTACATTCACCTTTCAAAATCATATAAAGAAACAAAGTCAACACAAATATATACATATATACAATTAGAAGAAGAATGCAATGAAGCGTATTAACAAATCAAGAAAGTGATTCACTTTATAATACAGTACTCTTATTCATTTCCTTTATGATCATATACAAAACATCATATTACCTTTGATGAACATAAGAATATTCTGTCTCACTTTAAATACTAACACGTTATTTGTGACCAAATCATGTTGAATGTTAATAACAAAAATGATATAAAAAAAAACAAATTAGACAATATGAATTAACATTTTTTCATTACAATATCTACTTGCTAGGTTTGAAGCTATCACGAGTTCACTTAATCTGCGAACGGCAAACAAGACTCGGTGACCAAAGACCAGCAAGCTAGCTACTGATGCGTCCCAGCCCCGCTGACTAGAGGGGGAAGTCCAAGCTTGGAATGGGAAGTATATTCTGCAAAACAGCCAGAACGAGCGATCACAACAACGCAATTCAAAACGTATATATACATTATATATATAATCCATATTGCCATGGAAGTTTTGTTTAAACATTTAATCGATAAGCTCGTCATTCGACTATGTGCGTGGGTGGTAAGAAATGTCCAAGCGTACATCTGCATACAGGCTCCACAGTGATAAAATTACAAAATATGAGTTTTGGGAATCTATTGTCCTCAACACTCCCTCCTTTTTAATAGCGTACTTTCCTGGGGTCGTCTTGTATCTTGACTGTAGTTCGTCGCTGTCGGAGAGGCCACCTTCTGGAACGGAGATCAGCTTGCTGTTGAACTTCTTCTCGTGGTGGGACTGCTGGTAAGTTGAAGATATCAAGAAGGATGTCAAGGGGAAGATTTACTCCTGTTGATGGGCGGTCTGGGGCTATCCGCTTCCGTAGTTGGTTCCGGTGTCTAGTCCACATGTCTCTTCCCACCTTTACCTCGTACATAACTTGGCCTAGTCTCCCAACCACATGTGCTTCGGTCCAAGGACCATGATTTGCTCCGTAGTCTCGATCGAACACCGGGGATCCAACCTCGTACGCTGGCAGCTTCTGAGATTTGGTCTGAGATGGTGGTGGTGTGGTTCTTGGGCACATCAGACTGTGAATCATCCTCAATTTCCTTCCCATATCATATCCCATAGCATATCACCAGGTGTTGTTCGGCAAACAAACAAAAAACTTCTGTAGTGTTTCTACTGGAATCCCTTCCCCTTTCGACTTCATTAGAGCTCTCTTGAATGTATCCACGAATCTTTCTGCTTGGTCATTGGACTGTGGGTTGTAAGGTGGAGAGTGTAAATGCTTGATCGATAGGTGTTTGCAAAATTATTGAAATTGACTTGAAGTGAACTGTGAACCGTTGTCGGATACGATTATATCCGGTAATCCGTTGCGGGAGAACATCTCCGTCAAAAGTTGCATCGTTTAGGTAGTCGTTGGTAGCATGACGGGAACGATTTCTGGCCATTTCGAAAAGGCGTCAACAAAGACTAGATGTGTGATTCCATTGATTGGGCCTGCGAAATCGACATGTATCCTGGACCAGGGATACTCAGGCTGTGGCCATGGGACCGGTAGTACTTTCGCGTCACACTTGGCCGTTTGCTGACATTGCGTGCATTTGCCTACTAAATCCACGATTTGTTGGTCCATGAGGGGCCAATAAGCTTAGCTTCTGGCGATGGATTTCATTCGTTTCATACCAGGATGACCAGTATGGAATTGCTTTAGCACCTTTGATCTTATGGACTCTGGCACCACTAATCTATCTCCAAACCTCAAGCATTCATTTACGACACATAATGAGTCCCGACGGCGGTAAAGGTGCTTCAAGTCACCATCGAGTTCATTTGGAGGCCAGCCACTGATGACGTATTTCATCGCTCTCTTTATGATGGAGTCGTTCTTGGATGAAGATTGTATTTCGGCTTCTGAGACTGGCAAAGCACGAATAGCGGTTGCCAAGTAACATTGCGCGTGGTCCTCTGTCATTAGGGAGGCAATAACTGCATCTTCGCCGGCCGAACGGTGTTTGCTGATAAGTTGTGACAAGGCGTCAGCCTGACCGAACTGTTGTGTGCACCGGTACTGAATGTCAAAACCATAACCCTAAAGTATCAAAGCCCATCGCTGGAGACGGTTTGCAGAGTGAGTTGGAACACCAGATTTCGAAACGAAAATTGTGAGAAGAGGCTTGTGATCAGTGAGAAGAGTAATTCTTCGACTGTACAAGAATTTGTGGAAACGGCGTACTGCAAACACGAGGGCGAGAGCCTCTTTCTAGCCCAAAGCCGTCAATCAGAAACAGCGAATTGTCGATCGGACCAAGGACGCGTAAAACAAGTGCGAGCAGTCTAGAGTCCTGATTGGCCTTGCTTTCCGCCTAGCCCAGCCAGCTAAGTCTAGAACACCAGTCTCAGCCTCTGCAATATGAATCATTATATTTCAAACATACTGAGTTTATATACCAATCAAACAGGCCACAATGTACCAATAAAATATGAAACAACATTTGTACAAGAATTAGCCAGATGTGGCTGTGAGTGTGGGAGGCAGTGACTAGTAGACAGGGCATAATTCAAGAATGGTAAAACATATAATAATGGTTCATAGGTCAAAATAAAGCTTATAATAAAAGGAACATGAATATGAATAGCTTAGTTATTTACTAATTATACGATAAAAATATACGTTTAGTATTAGTTCATAAAAGGATCTCAAAGTTACCATTCATTATGTTTATCGGGACCCAACAGTACTTTAATATTTGGGTCTAATCAAATTGAATTTTTACCGTACAACAAAAGGAAAGACAAAGAGTGTATGCACCTACACCATTGTGATCGATTCTGAACCATGTCACCAAGAGTCTCCAACCATTGGTTACGATAGTCACGCGGACCCCAACCAAGTAGTCTTCATCTACCAACATGGCTCACACTAGAAGTTAGTGACTTCAAGGACTGATGCAACGTTTTGGTTTGGTTGCCCCTAACTTTCATCCAACCATCCCCAACACTAGTCAGCATTGCGCGTCATGGTAATCGGTGTTCAGGCATACGAAACACGTGGCCCAACCATCTCAGTCAATGAAGGCTTACAACATCATCAACTGATTTATCATCATTCCCTAATACCCTGTATCTAACCTCACTGTTACTTACCCGGTAATCTCAGCAGATGCGTGCAATATTTCTAAGGCATCTGTATTCTATATTATTGGATATAGAATATGTAAATTAGTTATGTAGCTGTAGAATAGTTCTAAGGAATCCTACGGTTAATATAATTGACATATGACTCTCGTTTCATTCTATTTGGAGCTCGTCAGTTAAATGTACTTGATTCCCATTAATTATGTTCACAGTGAGACCCGATCCAAGAACGTTTCACTTCAGATTCCAAATGCAATACACATATGAAAACGCAGACCGATGAAATTCGGTCTTTAATATTAATGATCGACATCCCAGTAATAATATGTTCATATATGTTGGACGATAAAGTTACTACATGGATTAAGTATCTCAGTGGATAATTGCTTGGCAAATGAAGAATGAGTTTAATGTCGAAACAGGAAAGCAAGTACATTCGTCCGATGAGTCTTAAATAAGACGAGACATCCCACTGATTGCCATATACCAAACATACTAGAACTTGCAACCGAAGGCTCTGCTGAGACAATCCTATCAGGATGTATATATGCCAAGAGAGATTGAACGATTGTAGTCTTTAGTATCAACTGTGGGACATTTCAAAACATTAATAAAACTATATTTTGGTTTTTTGTTATACGGCATTCATCAGCAGGACATATCTACAATACCGAAAGAGCTTATGCTTTCTGTATAACTTTGTGTTATATTAAAAAACTATAACATTGTTATTTGATCCGCAACTGATGGTCAATATGACTCGTTCAGCATTGAACTCGGCATAACATATTGTTTATTACTCAGCTTTCAGTTACATTAAATTTTTAGAGATATGAATTTGAAGAACTATATAGGTAAGTATTTACTAATATGCTTAAAATAGGATTCTCTCAACTCAACTCTTAACAGTTACCATAAGTGCTAACCCTACCTCATTTCCTGAATCGTTTTTTTTCGCTTACAATATAAAAAACTCAGTGTGTAAAAGTCAATTATGTCAGGACTATTTATCCACTGTAGTCGTTCCGTGAATTTATACTCCAAGAAAGTATTTTTATCATCACTGCTACGCAACAGTTATCAATAACAGTTCTCCAACTGACGATATTTTCTTACGTATTTATTTATTTATTAAAACACATAAACATTGGTACAAGGAGGCACCAAATCTCATTCGATATGTGTGAGGGCTGAGATACTGACCGGGCGCCCAGACCGAAGCAGGTGGTTATCTTAGGGGACCACACCCCGAGCCTTGGACCTAAAGGTCTGATCCACAAGGCAATGGAGCATCGTGAGAAGATGCAGTCCCATGGTAGCCGGTGACCAACAATTGGTTCATACGCCATTTGTTCCTGCAGGATACTGGAGCCTATGTGCACCATTGGTTTGGAATCCGGTTTAAGCTCCGGACATTCGCTTTTCGTCCTCTAAATTTCGTAAACAACACCCAGGCCACGAGGAGGCAGTGAGTAGGACTTTCCTGGCAGAGGCTTTATACGAGTGGCCGTTTGAGAGCATTTCGAGAGGGAGGGCGGGCCCAGCCCACTCTCGGCCATACCAGGGCACTTGGGGACAGTTTCTTACGTAACTTAACCTCAAAGGGATCAAAAATCTATTAAGTAATCATTATTATTATTATTATTTATTAATCAATTAATATTAGTTAGTTATAAATATGTACATTTATTAAAATTATTTTACAAGAAAACCAAAACAACGAAAAAAATTAAAAAAATAATCGAGAAAAATAGGAGAAACTATTAACGATGAGAATGGTATTAGCAGTTGTAGTATTAGTAACCAGGTGAGGGATAGGGACTGTACCAAATTTACATTGTAACTTGTAAGCGAAAAAAAATATTAGACGGTTATGCTAGAATTTATGAGAGAGAGAGAGAGGAAAAAATATAGTTTTATACATAGTATTTACATAAACAAGAACATGCATACACACACACATAAACATAAGTATAATCACAGCCAATTTGAATGAATAGTTGAGTGGATTTTGTTTGTATACATGACTTTTCAATTGAATATATGCGATTCTTCTAATAATGAACTACTTCTTGACTTGATCAACGTTTTATGATGGTGATGATGAGAGGAAGGAGTAGAATGAGGAACAACAACACACTGATTGGTCATTTTGATAAATCTCTCATCATAATTATCAATTTTACTATTGATAAACGAAGTATTATTGATTATACTTGATTTTAATTCTTGATGAATAGTACCCGGTTTATGACGTTTCCATAAATGGAACGAATCAATTGATGTATTATTAGTAGTATTATTTGTGGTTATTTTTGTTGTTTTATGTAAGTTATTCAATTGATCATTTTGTGATTCATTGGATTTTAATTGTTGAAGTGAATTTTTACTAATTGTATTACTAGTGGATTTGGTACGATGAATATGACTGGAACGATTTGAATTCGATAGTAAATACATCTCATTCATTGGGTGACTTTGAATTAATTCATCTGAATCGTTTTGATATTTAGCACGTTTTTGAATAGTGGATTCAAGCTGTTCCTGAGATTACAGAAAATAATTGTAGACGGTTATAATTCGAAAAGAATAAATGAATTCTTAGATTAAATGGTATAAATTATGAAATTGAACTTAATTGTACCTTCGTGACCGTTTCTGAGTCATACTACCCAATCTTCCTAAACATAAATCACGATAATTGCCCCGATCAGAACCGAATAATCTGCGCCTATCAACATAGATCAGTCCAACAATCATTGACTTAATGTACGGGTGATTTATTTTCATTTGACTGCTCCTAGCTTTCCTTCAACCTATTCTTAACATCATATGTTGAGGTAGGCGATTGTTGAATAAACGTAATAAGTCTCAACCACCTCAACCAACGAAGATCTACAATTTCATTTACTGTCTTAGTAAAGTTGTTGGTCTTAAAATATACGAGTAGTGCTTCGAATACTCTTATAATCAAATACTAGTAACCAATTAAAATATACTCTGATGATTGAGGCGGAGTGAGGAATAAATATTTTAGAAGTTGATGTACCGGATACAAACTTATATCAACTGAAAATGTACATTTAGGCCTTCCACAAATTCTATATAATCAACACTTTTAATGTAATCAAGCTGAATTGTCATTTTAGTAATTTCATTCAAGTTGGACAATTCCAAAATAAACTTTTGGGTTATTTAACCGAAATAGGTTTTCAAACCAAAGTGAATATGAGATAAAATGATTTCCAGTTACATCAGTTACAGCAAAACCGTAACAAAAGTTTAATGCACTTAACTGAATGATGAATGAATAATTGTGATCAATTTTTCTTTTTGTTTTTTTTCAGTATGTGGATTTGGGGAGATTGTAGTAGTTTAACAGTTGAATTTATGAGTCAATCTAAGCTACATCACCATTCAAAACCTGGAAGCACTGGACAACCTTTCCGTCATAGTATGGGATTCCTCAGTAGTGCCCATTCATGATCTCACATCAAAGGAACTCGAATCCAGGACATTCGGTCTCGCACACTAACACGTAGCCACTAGACCGCTGATCCGACATCCATCGGTGTTAATGTCTAACTTCAATCGATCCATGATCTTGTGCAACTCTTCATCGATTGTCTGAGGTGGATAACTGTCTCACATTCAACACGGATTGGACTACACCAGTTATGGCTTCCCACTAGAACTCCAGAAAATCCATCTTGAGTCTAGTCACTTGACTTGTGAATTCAACTTTGAAAATATTACAATCCCTGCAAATCGTGATACCGATAATAATTATGAGCTCCGTAGTGACTAACTTCAAGATAGATTCGTCTTTTGTTAGAAAAAAATTCGGAATATTAACTATATTTATCAGAATAATCAATTTAAAACGGTAACTTACCGATTGAATATGATTCACATTAGTTAATTCTTTTAATATCATTGACCGATCATCAACTAGACAATACTGACTTTCAATATTACACTTTTCTGTTGTAGATTTGCATTGTAGTCGAGACGCTGTTCTAGGTATCGGTGAATTGCCCAAATGTGTTCTTAGACGACTACGTACCGTATTATAAATAATTGCTGGTAGATCTTCTAACTGATGTACCATTTTGATTAAATTTGTCAATGTATCTATACGTTTAGTTATTGAATTCGTGTAAGATTCAAAGTGTACATATTATTATCATTATTACTGTCTCCTTTCAGACGACGGTGATTATGATGACGATTAGTAATTGTAATAGGATTATGCGACTTTTTAATTTTTAAAGGTGCACCAAACACTGCAAATGCTGTACATCTTGATAAACATTCAGCTGTCATTTTTGACATAACACTTAAATCATCAATTTGTTTAAATAATCTTAATAAACTCATGAGTAGATATCGTTCCGGTGTCGGTAATAACAATTGTAAGACAATACGATAAGCTAATAATTGTCTTGACTGACATAATACATACATCCAATCATCGTGTTGACTATCGGATAATTTATGAACAATATCTTCATTATCATCGAAATTATTCAGAGTAGTGGTACTACTACTACTACTCGTGGATTTTAATTTGTATTGTAGTTCAGTAGCTAAAAATAGAAGATTTCCAGCTTCAAGTGGAATTAAACCCCCAGTCTGTTGATATTCACCGTCATCATATGAATAAGGATTGTTAGTGTTGGTTCTAGTTTGATCACCATGACTATAAATTGGTGAATCAACTGTCGTACTGTCAAAATTTAAAACTTGATGAATACGTTGGAATTCTGTACATGTACTTAAACAACGTAATATTAAACTGGATATATCATGGGGTGTGTAAGATTGTAATATTTCATGAATTTCTGTATGATCAATTATTGGATAAGGTGAAAGGTTCTCATTAGTGACATCTGGATCAGGTTGAGGTATACGTAGATATGGATTTTGAAAATGATGACTTAATTTTAACCATAATTCACGGATACGTAATGCATTGCCTGGTATACGAAATAAGCCTTCAGTTTGACATAATTCTATAAAGAGACAGAAATAAACATATTTATTAGTTAATGCCAAACTTAACGGTTAAATTATTTATTTAAGGATATAATAAAGCGGTTTTAGGAGTTAAATCAACTATGGGTTAATCTCTCAGAGTGAATCACGGATAGTACTGTGTAAATAACCGACTGACACTTGTCTTACAGCCCATAAAGATGAGATTGTTGATTGTAATGTATCATGTTTTAACTTCACCCTTCTTCTCACTGAAGCTTTTAGGTATTCATCAAGACAAAAAGACAAATCACTAGAACACTTGCCTCGTGATAACTAATTTAAAGAATTGAGGATGGTAGTGTTATTCACGATGTTATCGTCGGGAGCATCAATGTTTCAGACTGTTGTGACTTATAGAATAATATTTTACTGAAGTATCAGCCAACACATTTATACCAATAAACAAGGATTGACTTTTAAAAGATTATTCAGTGTAATAAATCTTTTCTTCAGTAAATGAATATGTATAATCTTTTGATAGTCTTCTTATTAATATTCGTTAATAAACTTATATTATAAAGATATTACAGAACTATATGATATTTAATCGAATTCACAAAATGATCATAATTGATATTTATGTCAAATAATAAATGCATGGCTTATTTTCACCCCTACACAGTACATACATATCAGTGGTTGAGATCATGAGTCAGCTGAAGTTAGACCGCCATGGAAAACCTGGAAAACCTGATGGTCTAGCTTCAATTGTCTCATGATCTCAACCATTGAAATTACTATAATGTCCACGAGACCCCTTCTGATATATATGTTTTAGATATCGTTACCAAGGTTTGACCTGATAATTTCGCATTGGATAGATTGATATAAAGAATATTCATGTACTGTTTCCTTTGTACTATTTAAACATGGATTAATTTTGATTTGGTTATTCATTCTCTGAAGAAATGGCTTACACTAAGTCACGAAATATCAGAAAATTTAATTTTTCCACTTATTGGAATATTACAAATACATTATTTTATTCATCATACAAATATGTTGATTGATTTGAATACAATCTATAGTTTACTTGTTATGTTCTTGATTTAATTGACATTCATTTACCAGCAAACTAAACTAACTATTCTGAAGAAAAACAAACAGACATTCTATTGAATTGAAAACACAATGGCATCGGTGTATACACTCGCTGTCTTCCCTTAAACTAAGAGATTAAAATCACTTCATATCTTTCTTTCTAGGAACTAATTATTTCTTCCTGCACTGTATCCTTATTGCAATCTTTCTTTTATATATTACCACCACTGAATTAACTACTTTTATGAATCCGATGTCCATCTTGTTGTGTTAATGAGGTATGGCAACTTGGACCGATGTATATATGTGCTTGGTCCTATGTTGTAGCTGACTGACTGACAATTTCTATGTAAGTGATTAGCATCTCATCATCATTGTTTTGTTTAAATCTCATGTTCAATGAAATGAAAATGATCATTTAATGATCTTTAATTTAAAGTTGTGTTGTTGTTATTGTTTTTAATTTTTTAAAAACACTCGTTTTTTGTATACACAACCATGTACTTCATTTTAGATTGCCATAAACTTTTTTTCTTCTTTTTGTTTAAAAAGCCATTATCATTAAACTAAATGCTTTCTATATTTTATAATAAAGAAACAGCACACATACACACAGAGAGAGAGAGAACATGTTTTCTAATCACAATCAGCAATATTGAACACACTTATTATGAATGGGAACTGATTGTTTATCAAGGATAATAATTTCAAACCAGACGTTGTTAATTACCAATATATTATTGTTGTTTTTTTATCCCATCGTAGAAACAGTAATCGTGTATACATATGCACATTGATAGGCAAACAGACAGACAGACAAACAGATAGACAAATGAATAGATAGACACACTGATATATCCCAATTATTCACAGTTATATAATATACCCTTGAGGGCCAGGGTAACTTTACATTGGTTTTCAGGAGAACCAGACACCACCCGGACTTTCACGTAAAAACCCTAACAGTACAGCTCAACCCCGTTTAGCAGGGGAACCAGACACCGTACAGGCTTTAACGCTACAATCTGAATAGTACAGCTCAATCCTGTGGCGCAACCACACAGGTACCAAGCCTCCTGGTGGACCAATATCCCAATTACCACCTATATATTATTCAATATATATATAATAACTTACTAGGATTCGAAATCATATAATCAATTAAAGTTGAACAAATTGTTGAATCTATATTACAATAACGAATACTATAACCAGTATAATCATTTCTCCATTTTGATTTAATTTGTTGTAAATAATCATCTATTTTAGATGAATTCAATCTATTCAATAGAAATGGACAAGTGAATTGACGAATTGTATCATTTGATCCTGATTTACAAAATAATGGTTGAACTTGTTGTTTAAAGAATAATTCTATAATGAAGGAGGAAACAGTGATTTGTTTGTTTGTTACTTTTATGAATAAAACAATAAAATTCAAGTTATAATCTTATAGAATAAATTAACACATCATTGTGTACACATGACCTAATTTGATAAAGCCTTCAGGTTAAATAAATAGATAAAACAATGTAATGACAGATGTTAGATAATAGGAGTTATATGGTTCGTTATAAACATTTGTGTAATATGTATTGTACTCCGAATAAGGATTTATTATTCCCTAAAAGTGAATAAATCACAATGAATAATGGTGATAGACAATGTTCCGAGTTGTTGATTTTAATTCATGTCGTGTTTTCTTTTTTTTCTTTCTTTCCTTTTTGATCTATAGATTGTGTTCGTTTATAGTTTAGTCTAATTTGAAGTATTAGTCGAAACAAGGAAATGATGTATAGAGGTTTGGTACTAACTAGTAGGGGGACACTTGAGAAATATTCATTACTACAACTCATTCAAGGAGTCGATTTCTGATGATATTTCAATTGAAATTAATCTGTGATGAATACAATCTTTTATTTTATTTCAACACATAGATATTGGTACAAGGAGGCACCAAATAGATATGCGCCACACAAATCTCATTCGATATGTGTGAGGGCTGTGATATTGCCCGGGTGCCCAAACCGAAGCAGGTGGTTTTCCTAGGGAGCCACTCCTCGAACCATGGACCTAAAGGTCTGATCCACAAGGCAATGGAGCATCGTGAGAAGCTGCAGTCCCATGGTAGCCGATGACCAACAATTGGTTCATGCGCCATTTGTTCCCGCAGGATACTGGAGCCCATATGCACCATTGGTTTGGAATCCGCTTAAAGCTCCGGACATTCGCTTATAAAGATCTTTATAAGTTCACTTTAGCTAAGTTGTTGATTACTAAAGACATCATAAATCTAACAGATGAAGTTTGAAATAATGACAGAATAAAAGCTAATATTTATATGACCTATGATCAAAATTATAAATGACAAAGTATGAATAAGAAATCGTGATAGTTTTCAATGAAGATACTAAGGAGTAATGTAACATAAACTGTTTATACGATAAACGCGATTTGAAAATGCCATCATAACCAACTAACCATCTTCATCAATAACACAACTTAAAGTCATCTACATTAAATCGATTCAAATATTTACTAAGCGAGCTTAATCACAACGGTATATAAGTCAGGGATTTTTCTTAACAATTCACAGCTTATCATAAGATAATCCAATAAGATTTATTTTAAAACTTATTGTTGCAGTTAACAGATTGCTCATCATTCATACCAGACTTCCTAAAGCTAGAGAGAATTCGAACCTTATGATAACTGCCTTAACTCGTAAACTAACATTTCATAGTGGCTCAACTCATAAAATCATAAGTTGATAATGAAAATTTGTGTGTAAACTTCGCTGGAAAAGATTCATTAAGTTGGTGGACTGTATCATTCTCAAAAGTGAATTTATCTCATTTTTAATCCATATTCAACTAAACACTTGCTTCAATTCACACACTTACAATATAACCTATTATTAAGTAAACAAACTACAGGTGAGACATTTTTTCAAACAGATATTCGACTATTTACTTTATGAGTACTTTTATCAACAAGGTTACACTATTCAAGGTCGTAATTACTTAAGTAAACAAAACTATGAAGTGACATACAAATATAGTTACTAAGTCCTTCTCTAGTTAGATACGTCCTGTATAGAGATTGAAATTAAAAGTACTCTGAGTATAATTAGACAAAAATTATTTGTTTTATGAAAACCAGACTGGATGATGCATACTTCATGTTTATAGTAAAAAGGGTCGAGTATGTAGCAACAGCAGGGATTCAAGTGAATATTAAATGGTTAAATGGATATATTAATTGAGATTTGTACAATTTGGAAGACCGATTTATTTAACAACTCATTACAACTGTCTACAGCTATCAAGTTAGATGGTGGTTCGAGGTAGTCGACAGGAAATCCTGGACCCGGGTTTCGTGCTACTTGGCACTCGTCAGTAAGGTGTAGCTGCAATCTTGAGGGAGCTGGTGCTGCCTGACGGATTCGATTCCATGTCACCCAGCTTGAAAGTCAGAGACGTTACCACTGAGCTATCCGGGACCGCAGCTATCAAGTGAATATTACATAATGGATTTATCACTCAGATCTAAGTACTTAATTAAAACATATGAATCTTAATAAACATCTAACATATATTGTCCTAAGCTGTCGTTACCATATCAGTACGACGAGATGTTATTTGATAGGAATCGTGATTACGTAGCACCAGTGACAATTAGAAAGGCCAAATACTGAGAATATTATTCGGAAAGACAACATGAAGCCGTGACCAATGGAGTCCAGACCGTGTCGAATGTGAGAGTTATCCACCTCAGACAATCGATGAAGAGTTGCACAAGATCATAGATAGATTAAAGTTAGACATTAACACCGACGTATGTGAGATCAGCGGTCTAGTGGCTACGTGTTAGTGTGCGAGACCGAATGTCCTGGATTCGAGTTCCTTTGATGTGAGATCATGAATGGGCACTACTGAGGAGTCCTGTACTATGATGAGAAGGCTGTCTAGTGCTTCCAGGTTTTGAATGGTGATGTAGCTTAGATTGACTCATAAATTCAACTGTCAAAATACCACAATCACCATAAATCCTCATTCTGCTAACATGAAAATATGTATATGAGCGCAAACTGAACTTCAAAATCTAAGAGAACGTAAAAAGTGAATGCATCTGTTTTGTTGTGAAAAATTTTCAATTATGTTATCCAACTTCTATAATCACTGATTATAGATATAATTACAATTGTAAGTCAACAATACGTTCATCATTATCAACATTATATTATACTTACTTGTTTTAGAATTAGATCGATCTGATTTCTTTGTAGGCGTCACTAAATCTACACAAGAAGGTTTCGATCCATTATTATTATTAATAATATTATTATTAGGTACTGGAAACATTGAAGGCAATAATTGTTTCAATATACGTTTATGACCAGGTTTTAATTTATTTTTTACTTGTTCATCAGTATTATTGAATAGTTTCATGTTTGATACAATTGGAGATGAATATGATAATTTGTCTATTTGATAATTAGACATAAATAATGGACTACCAATTGGAGATTGAAAAATTTCATGTATATTATTTCTATTTTGATTTGTATTCATGGTAAAATTAATAGCAGTACGTGAACGACCTCGACGATTGTCTATTGATTTTTGATTAGTTATTAGAATTAAACGTGAAATTAATGGCCATCTTTGATCATCAAAATAATCATGAGTTAATTCTAAAAATGATGCCAATGTATGATGACATATTTGAAGAAATGTATTTGGATGAGTTTGTTGAAATAAACCAATTAAATGCCATGCTTCTTCATTTTTAATACCATTGACTAATCGATCAGCTCGGTGCAACATTCGAGACTAGTCAATAAAAAGCATACAGGATGAAAGAATAACACAGTTTAGTTTGAGAATGTGAAGTATTCAATATGAAATCTATTTAATTTGAAAATATCCATGTACATTTATCAAATCAATATGAGTGAGAATTGTGATGAAAAAGAACAATTTCTAACACTCGGTATATATTTTTTTACAAATCCCTGTAACTAATTTCAGTCAGTCAGCTACAACATAGGACCAGGCACATATATGCATCGGTCCAAGTTGCCATACCTCATTAACACAACAAGATGGACATCGGATTCATAAAAGTAGTTAATTCAGTGGTGGTAATATATAAAAGAAAGATTGCAATAGGGATACAGTGCAGGAAGAAATAATTAGTTCCTAGAAAGAAAGATATGAAGTGATTTTAATCTCTTAGTTTAAGGGAAGACAGGGAGTGTATACACCTACACCATTGTGATCGATTCTGAACCGTGTCACCAAGAGTCTCCAACCATTGGTTACGATAGTCACGCGGACCCCAACCAAGTAGTCTTCATCTACCAACATGGCTCACACTAGAAGTTAGTGACTTCAAGGACTGATGCAACGTTTTGGTTTGGTTGCCCCTAACTTTCATCCAACCATCCCCAACACTAGTCAGCATTGCGCGTCATGGTAATCGGTGTTCAGGCATACGAAACACGTGGCCCAACCATCTCAGTCAATGAAGGCTTACAACATCATCAACTGATTTATCATCATTCCCTAATACCCTGCGTCTAACCTCACTATTACTTACCTGGTGATCCCAGCAGACGCCAGCAATATTTCTAAGGCATCTGTGGTCAAATACTAGTAGCTTACGAGTGTCTTCTACTCTTAATGGCCATGTTTCGCTGACGTAAATTAAAACAGAACGGACTGTAACTAATTTACTGTGTACAAGTTTATTCATTCATTTTTGATACCGTGAATGAAACTTTTTAATTTACGATAATATATAACTGAAAATTAATAATTTCAATTACCAAGCCACAAACTATCCCATATACATTGGTCTGATACTTATATGCTTTGTATACTGATGCTTATTTTATGAGAATCATTAATCAAACCACAACTAACAATAATGATAATAATATTTATTTTATGATATTTTCAAAACACATTTCTTTCGTCTGTGCATTACATTTATACAATTACTTCTGTTCTGGTTTTCGTTACTAAGACATTTCAACAAATCCATTGTTTGTTTTCATACATGATTTATAATTGATCTACCGAATAAATGTAAATGATATTACAATAGATTACAACAGTCCGAACACCTTTTAAATAAGATATCCATAGACAATGGTATGTATTTTATGTTTATGATGAATATATTTCAACATGACAAGTATACATAAATAATACATATATATAACACCGACAATTGGCACGTGTTTTGATTTAGTCACACCATTAATGCATACATACTTTTGTTTTTGAATATAGATACAAAGTATGAAAATTAAGATTATTCCCATGAGACGTTAACACCTGCTTTCTATCTCAAAACTTAATTACATTTGTCTGATTTGTTTTGTTTTTTCTTTGGTATTATGACTAGTAATTAATATATACATTTTAAGAAAATACAGATAATCCTTTGAGAAAAACCAGACCATAATATTTGATATGTTAATAAAGAAGAGAATAAGGCTATATAGGAAATATAATAGAAGAGCCATCTACGTAATCATGACTTGATACTTATTTGTAGAACTTGTTTACCGTATATCTATTTGTATAATTGGCTGAGTTATACTCTAAGCATTATATATATATATATAATTTACATCTGAAATATATTTGGCTCGCTAAGAGTAATTAAAGCGACATGCAATTAGAAATAGCAATTACAGTTGTCTGATTGAGATGATATTGGTTACTATATCCTGATATAACCTCTTTTGTATTACTATGTTACTGATCATAACTAATTATTATTAGTTTTGTGCATAATTCTAATAACACTATTCACTATTTTACAACTAATTGATTGGTAGCAAGTTCAGATTCAAAAGTAAATCCAAATAATCATTTGAAGCCATCATAGGTTAATACGACATTGTTCTTGCTTTTTAGTTTATACTTTAAGATACTGAATCATTTCTTATAATTTAGTATCCACTTATAAAATATAATCAGCCATTCCGATAAATATAAATTTTTCGCTTATATTTTTAGCTACTTACAAGTAGTAGCGATTGTAAGTTCCTAATTCTACAGAAATTTTTATTAAGCAAGATTTTGTCTTTACACTCTTAGTGGAATGTTTCAGCTTTGTATGAAACTAACAGCCTTTTAGTATAAAATCAATAGTTTTATCACATGAGCCTACTTTTAGTAATAGTGTCTATGGTGATCGTGAATGAACAACTATTCGTCAAAATACTCGGCATTCACTGTCTATTTCAAAACACATTACACCCACTTTTATTTGAACAATCAAGCATTGTGAAAAGATATTAAAATAATTGTAGTTCATAGCCTTGCTCATAAACCACTACTTAGTTACAGATTGCCAGAAAATTATTAAAATGTAATTATTTATGAAAATTTAACTTAACGACAAATTTATTACTTACCCGAATATCATCAGACGTAGTCATTGGTTAGATCCACTATAGTTATAAATCCACAAAAGAAATATGAATATGTGTTGTATTTATGGAGGAGGCAAATAAACTGATAACGTCCTAATGAAAGTTTTGAAAATGATCAGGTGTTTAGGTGTTATATATATTCGTATTGCTTATTTTGATTGGTTGATGTCAGTCTTCCAATTATTCCATTTTTGATTGGTTGATGGATTATTCCTATTCCTTTACTTCTTACAAAAGATAGGGGGAACAAATGAATTAATTATTGGTGTATTTCTAATAGGCTAGAAAATGAAAAACGTGTAAAAAGAAAATAACTGGTGAGTAAATGGAAAGTAAAAAAATAAGTGTTCATTGCCATTGAGCACAAAATATTGATGTTACCTAGATCCGTAAATTGACGATTGTGTTTTGTTCTGGATATTGCAACACTGTGAATCACCTAATCATATAAAGAAATTCAAGTTAGACATGATTTATGGATCGGGGAAGTTGTGATTTAGCCACTGGTCTAAGTGACTTGTCATTTTTTGTACTGTGTTGCAACGTTAGATAGGCTGAAGTAATCTATAGGAAACCCTAATTCGTGATATTTGGCGCCCTCAACAAGGCGCAGTTGTTTTCTTAAAGGACTGGTGGTTTCCTTTAGGTTCAAACTGGCGTCATGCAACTTAACAGTTTGAGACACTATCAGTGAACTAATCGGACTACGACGAACCTTCTGAACGACTGGGATATTTACAACTAATTGGTCACTGAATAGTGATTTTGGGTAATTGGTACACGCCAACAAGTTGTATCCACAATTTTCGCCATGCTAGTTACTACTGGACATACATAACATCAGGGTTCAATCAGCATGCATCCCATCTTTTTTATATTTTAATTGTATATCAAATAAAATGGCCTTAAGGTGCCATTAAACTATTATTCGTCTAATTTACTTTGTCTTTTGCTAACTTATCTTCAGTCTGTTTTTTAAGGTAAATATAAGGAATTCAGCCGAATTAGCTTTATGCTGATTTCTACATTGATGAATGATAGCAATTACGAGGCCCAATTTCAGAGCTTCTCATCGATATACACACCAATCACCAAGATCGGAACTGTTAAGTTTGTAAATGAAAGTTTTAAATTATTCCGCATATATTCTATTGTAACAGACTTCTGACAATATATTCATTATACTATTCAAACATAATGACAAGAGTACATTTGAATATATATTACCCATAAAAATAACGTTTACAACTATCCTGCATGACATTAATTTGATTTCACAGATTGAAATCATGAGTCAATTGAAGCTAGATCACCATGGAAAACCTGGAAGCAGGGGATAGCCGTTTCGTTCTAGTACGGGACTCCTCAGTAGTGCGCATCCACGATCCCTCACCCCTCGAGACTCAAACCCAGGACCTACCAGTCTCACGTCAAGTGCTCAACCAACTAGACCACTGAGCCAGCATCCAATGGTTTTGATCTGCTTACTTAATTATTCACTATTGATACTTATAATAATAATTATTAATATACTCGTTTGTTTTTATTGTATACATTTCTTTCAACTTAACTTTCATATTCAAGTGACTTCCAGGGCGGATTAATAAGTTGTTTACTCTATATCTATAGATTAGTCATATGATTAGTGTTGGAATTCAACATTGTAAATAGATACAGTACAATTTATCTTGTTATAAACTTCAAATGCTTTCAATTAAAGAAAAAGTAATCGTTAATAAAATAAACGGCCTATTTTTTCTAATGAATAATATTGTAACAGATTAGTTTTATTTCATTTAGGCTTAACTATTTTATTTCCTGTCTTATAGTTTACATATTGATATATTTATATTCCTAAATTTAAATGTTGGGCATTTTTCAACAACAAAAAAAGGTACTTAAAACTCTAGACAGGAATATTTATGATCAAGTCTATTCGACTACAATATTGTTAATAGAACTGTAAACTTTATTGATATTATTTGATTAAATGGCTACTAATATATGATCTGACTTGATTAGTTCCGTTCCTTTTATGGTGATTCAGATTTGTTCCATTCAACAATTATGTTCTATTATCACTGATTGGTATAAATATATGCAATTTAAAGAGAGTAATTTATAGTTGCTTTAAAAAGTTTTTTTCTTTATTACAAAAAGAACTATATATCATATTTGTAATGGCTAATACGTTCCGGTGTGTGATGCTGAGAATTGCGATTAATCAATCTCTTCTGGTATGTGCGAATCCAGTTCGAATTATGTCTCGATAATGCTATATGGTTTAAAGCTTTTAGTAAAGTTTGATAGTGGGTAGTAATGGGACACAGAACAAGCTTTTCATCTTATTTAAAACTTATCAGCCGAATATATTTGTACCTTTGTGTTGATATTTACAGCGAGGCTCTAACTCAGAATCTTTCGCTTCAGACGCTGACGCCTAATCCACTAATCCAATAAATTTGGACAATTATCAGATTTTCAACGGGTACAAATTAGTAAGAGCTTGTATTATTCCGTTGATGTTAAGGATGATCGCAAAAGATTCATGAAAAGATCATAAATTGCTACTCTTCACCACATATCTTGAATCACATAAGAATAAAAAATCATCAGATATTTAAATGCATGTCATACATTCATACAGTTAGATGAAATTCTCCACAAAAATAGCGGTTAGAACAATAATTTTCTAAGTGATTCACATCAATTATGCAGGATTTATCTACAAAAAGAATTTGTTTTAGACAATATTAAATATATAGGTTATATAAATAATAAATAAATCTCAAAAAGGAGCATCGCTGAAGGCCAGGGAGTACCTGACGACCATTTCATCCAAGTATGGAACCCATCGGAAGAAATTATCCACGACTTCATCAAGAGTCGAAACCCAAACCAAGTTGTTCTGAGTATTATAGTTTAATATCAGATGGGTTTTGTGGATATTATAGTAATTTCAATGGTTAAGGTCATGACTCAGTTGAAGCTAGTCTACCATGGAAAACCTGGAAGCACTGGACGGCCGTTTAGTTCTATTGTGGGACTCCTCAGCAATGCTCATCCACGACCTCGCCTCCCGCGAGATTTGAACTCAGAATCTACTGGTTTCGTGCGCGAGCATTTGACCACTACTGAGGAGTCCCACAAGAGGACGAAACGGCCGTCCAGTCCTTCCAGGTTTTCCATTGTGGTCTAGTTTCAACTGACTCATGGTCTAACCATTGAAATTATTATAGTTTAATTGAGGAATATAGCCTACAACCTAAAACAATCTCAATAAAAACCTCTTAACTAAGTTAATTTAGTCACATCATTGGTGACTTGATCCAAGATATTCCTGAAGTTCTAGTAAGAAATTATGACTGATGGAGTTCATATATGTAAGGAGTGAAACAGCAGATATCGACAACAATAAATTATATCACGATATATCACGAATTGATTGGAGCTAGAAACTATATAATTGGACTCTGACTTATTCGTTCAATTCGTTAAGCGTTCACTATGAGACCTGACTTCTTTTTATTCAGTCCTCAAAGGGGTTTTATACTACAAAACAAAAGTTTTTTTCATTATTCATTAGCTTTTAACAATACTTTATACAACCTACACATCAAACTAATCTTTACAAAACCCCTTATACTATATAAGGTATAATTAAATTTACCTAAATAATACCTATTTTTTCTACTTTACTAAATCTCTAGTTGGTATTTAAAAAATATGATATTCCTATTTACTTATATGATACTCTACTAAATACTATGTATCAAGATTTAAAGTCCATAACATTTCCCCCTTACGAAACAACTTCACCTTTTAATATTTTATTAGAAGATATGTCATAAAATATTTACATTATCAATAAACGTCAGCTGACAATACATTAAATAAAAATCACAACCAACCTCTAAACAATTCATGTAATTTCATGTCATAGCTATGCTTGTTGAATACTTGATCTGAAAATGTTTTCTATCCATCTCAACTTATTTTGTTTGTTTCATCAAGACCTATTTAGAAATAAAATTGAATGGAAACAATCACAATGTTAAAACATGTTTTATTTAGCATTATCTTATGTTGTTCTTAGTGCTGCTCATTGTTGGTGTTGTTTTAATAAAGACATGAATACATCACTCTCCATCTCAAGTCTATACATATATATGACATGATAAGAGGTTTGTGGAGATTTTTCAATTTTCATAGTTTATGTCATGGACTGATCTTAGCTAAGAGAATGTTGAAAACCAAGAAGCACATGAAAGATGTTTCGTCCTAGTATGGAACTCCTGAGTAATGAGCAACCAAACGTAGGACTTTTGATCTCACGGCGATTCCTTAGTGTCTCAGATTGTAAAGTTGAATAAAGCTTGTTTGAGATTTATAGTATTTCAAGTACTACTAGTTGAAGAGTGACGACTAGTATGAAATATAGATCAAACAAGGATTATTATCGACTACCTTCAAAGCCTTACTAACTCTCTAATGTATCGTTATCCTTAATGACTCACTAACTGATACTAGTTAGATTAAAAATCCTTCGAAAGTTACTCAAACAAATAGAAATTCAGTGATAACTGATTCCGATATTAATTACAAATATTCTTAAATAACAAAACCTACGGAGTCACAGGGTATTAAGAATATGCTATTAGTAACTCATCGATATCAGAGGATAAGATTTAAGTTTTTTATAAAACAAAAGTGTCCGATTTTACAGTGAGAACCACCAGTTTATAATAACTCATTCGTATCAAGACATCGTGTCCTCCACATAAATTTGGGATAAGTCAGTTGACCAAGTAAACTCTGGCTACGCACAACTCTTGACGGAAACTATTATCAACTTGGGAAGAAATGTCTTAAGTTATTCTCAACTAACTGTTATAGACATGTCCATTGTAGCATGGTCAAATATGTCACATGAAAAACACAAATGTAGTACTCACGAAATGAGCAAAAAAGACCGATAGTGCAGAATACAACACATTTGACCGTTA